CTTATGATTTTACCTTCTATAGAGGGAAAATCCTAAAATTTTGCTTATGTAGGGAGTCCAAATCTAGGTTCACTAATAGTGAGCTGACTATGTTAAATTCTATTTCCCTAAATAACTCATAATACTAGCAATCCACACCAGTAAGTTATTTTAGTCCAGTGGTTTACTACTGTTCATTTACACACTTGACCACTCTCTCCTTAGCTATATACCAGATACAGAGTTAGCATTAATGGGAAGAAATCTTCAATTGTGGTAACTGAAAGTAATAACATGCTGATAGAGTCATGAATTTTTGTTTTTAACTTTTCAGAAGCAATTGAAAAATACATATTTTATTGTTACAAAAGTAAGTGAAAATCACTATTAATAGTATATATATTATAAATAGTTCTGAAGTTTTGCTATGCATTCATATCGATTTTTGTTATACAAATATGGGTGTATGGATTTATGCATTAATAGTGCTTGAAAACCGAGTTATTCATTTAACCATTTGTTTTAAACATTTAACATGTCTAATATTTTCACACATTATTTTCAATAGATGTTCAGTAATCTGTGGTATGATTATACTAAATTATCAAGTCAACTGCATATTATTGTATAATTTTCAAAAGGCACTGTCGTCAAGTCGATTAAGACTTAGGATCTTCTATTATTTTTTGTCACTAAAGTGACATTGCAGTGAATATATTTATATTTAAAAATTTTTCAAAAAGTGTGATTACTTCCTTAGCATAAATTCCTAGACATTGGAAACCTAAGTCATAACATCTATGTAGACACACACACACACACACACACATGCATGCACACGCACACACACACACACACAGAAACATATCTGCTCACTATTTTTCAGAAAGCTCTAGGAATTTTCTGTCCCATAAGCAATATATGAGATTTCTCATTTTTCATATGTTTTCCAGTACAGGCTGCCATCATTCATTTTTATTTTTATCACTTTAATCAAAGAAAAATGCAAACTCATTTTTGTTTTAATTTGCTTTTTTTCTAATTATTAATGAGATTAAACATTTTTTTCATGTTTATTAGTCATTTCAGTCCTGTGAATTAAATACTCAGCCTTTATTTTCTCTGTTGGAATACTCATCATTTATTATTTTTTGGAAATATGTTCATTTTACAATTTTAATCTTTTGCATTTGAATTGGAAAAGGAATGATAGAAAAGTTTCAGGCTTCCAATCCCTGTATCTGTAAGAGATAGGGTGGATTAAACCATGCTCAGGGTCCATTCTAATCTACCAGCGTAGATGTTGTGTTGTTGTTGTTGTTATGTGCCATCAAGTTGGTCCCGACTCATAGCGACCCCTCCTTGGGTTTCCAAGGCAGTATCCCTACAGAAGTAGGATTGCCCAACCTTCCTTCCGAGGAGTGGCTGGTGGCTTTGAACTGCCAGCCTTCTGGTTAGCAGCCAAGTGCCTTAGGCACTATGCTACCAGAGCTCCTCCAGCATAGATACAAATGAGTTATCTGAAGGTGGTTTTTAACTAGATCAATAGCTAGGGAGTGAAGGAGTCCCTGAGTGGTGCAGACAGTTCACATGTTAACTGAAAAGTTATAGGTTCGATTCCACTCAGACATTCCTCAGAAGAAAGACCTTGTGAAATGCTTCCAAAAACCCAGCCACCAAAAACCTTATTGAGCATAGCTCCACTCTGACACACAGGGGTTGCCAGGATTTGAAATGAACTACCCAGTGACTGGTTCTGGTCTAATCATAAATCTTAGGAATTGTACTGAAAAATTTTCCCCAAAATTTTTCAACATTGGTGATCTCTCTCAAAATAAATTTCATGTTTTGACAGATTATCCTAATGAGCACCTATATTTAACTTCAGTTATTTTATTTTTTCCTTTCTTTCTTTATCTCATCAGGAAAAAAGAGACAGTATCTAGGTTTTCTTTAAGCTTCTTAAATGACATGGTAGAGTTTCATAACTTCCTTTTAGATTTCACAGGACCTGCTTATGTCCTTTTGTCCAGATTCAAAATAAATAATATGATTTTTGGCAATCTATCCTAGATGCATCTCCAACAGCATGCTGAAGTGTTATAATTGTACAGTAAGAGGCAAAATAAACAGGCTACTATCAAGCTTCAGAGTACAGGCTAAGCAAAAACTTAAAATTTACCTGTGTGTTTGTGTATACATGTATACATCGTATGTGTGTATACATGCATGTAGTATATGTGCATGCATGTCATGCATGTATACTCATATGTCATGATTTCAAATGGAAATCTACTTAGTACCCAGTATAGAAAAAGGAGTAAATTAGGTGTACATCTCTATATACCTATGTATATAAATATAGGCTCACTGCCATCTAGTCAATTCTGACTCATTTGACCCTCATTGGGTTTCCAAGGCTGTAAATCTTTATAGAAGAAGATTGCCTCATCTTTTTTCCATGGAGCAGTTAGTGGATTCAAACCACCTATCTTTTGGTTAGCAGGCAAATGCCTTAACCACTACACCACCAGAGCTCCTAGGGGTTACATGTATACTGTTTTTTTCTCATTTGCAAAGATAGTTTATTTTATCCATTAGGTGTAAACTATATTATTTATAGGAAATCTGGTAGTATAGTGGCTAAGGCACTTGACTGCTAACAAGAAGGTTGGCAGTTCAAACCCACCAGCCACTCCTCGGAAGGAAGATGGGACAATCTACTTCCATAGTGATACTGCCTCAGAAACCCAAGGAGGGGTCGCTATGAGTTGGGGCCGACTCGATGGCACATAACAACAACAACACATTATTTATGGTTTGAATATTGTCCTGGCCTAGCTTATATGTCACTCAGAATCTCTCATCTCCACCTACAGATCCATCATGGGCCACTGCTCCATGCTTTGCCTCCCAAGCCCATTGTAATAGCTCATGCTATACCTATGGCTATAAAGCCTGGAGCACTACTGTTACTCTAGCCCAAGCCACCATTTCATAAAGTGCTGACTGCAAGGAAAGCTCTCTCTGTACATCTAACCAGGAACTCTGGCTCGCCGCCATGGGACTAACTGGAAGTACAGAGTAATAAACAACCTGTGGGTGGACTTTGACCAGAGACAGGCAAGAGAGAAAGAGAAACTGTCCACACTTCCTATCCATATCCAGCCATAGACTATGGCAAGATATAGTAGTTAATATGGCCTCTTAACACTGCATGGCCTAGCAGGTTCTGTGTATGTTCAAAACTTGTGCCCCTCTCAATAACGTACCACCATTATTTGATTTCTCTTCTTCCCTATCTTAATTCCCTTTTTCCTTCATTCTAATTCTTCAGGCCTTGCAATCCAAAAGGTATTATCTTGGAAGCCTTGCCTTGGTCTCTTTCTGTCTTCTAGGAATCTGAACTGATACATATTAAGCGGTGCAGTAGTTAAAAGAAATATATGATTAATCATTTGATTAAAAAAAACACCCTCAAATTCTGCATGAAACTTTGTTGAATTTTTGTAGACAAGTTTTACCTACTATAAACCAAAACCACTGCCATCGAGTTGATTCTGACACAGCAATCCCCATTGGGTTTCCAAGGCAATAAAGTTTTATGGAAATAGATTGTGCCATCTTCCTTCTGTGGAGTGGCTGGTGGATTTGAACTGTCAGCCTTCTTGTTAGCAGTCAAATGCCTTAGGCATTGCACCACTAGAGTTCCTTTTTACCTACTATACCAAAAAACCAAACTCACTGCCACCAAGTCGATTCTGACTCATAGTGACCCACTTTGGGTTTCTGAGGTGGTAAATCATTCCAGAAGTAGATTGCACAGTCTTCCTTCCGTGGAACCTCCAACCTTCTGGTTAGCAGTCATATGCCTTAGGCACTACACCACTAGAGCTCCTTTTTATTGACTATAAGTCCTACTAATATAGCTACTAAAGTCAATATATTTTTATTTATATGGGAAGTAGAATGAACTCTCTCTTTATTAGGCAATCTATCTCTCTCCCATTTTCTAACCCCATTCTCAGCCCTGGAGATTGGGTGGGGGAGGTGGGAGAAATCAAATGACTAAACCTTGGAAGCATTTTATTAGATGGCATTTCAAGTAGTTAGATGGCAGGAGCTACTGCTGAATCAGCAATGCTGAGAAACTGATGTTGACTGAACCCATGATGTACAAAATTCTGTTATATTTATTAAGATGATAATCCAGAAGCAAAGTGTGTAGTGAAACTAGTATAGAGAATATAAAGTTAAAAATATAAAGGTTATTCTTGTTCAGGCCAATAAATGTCACCTGTCGGGGGGGGTTGGTGGTGGTGGGAATAAAAAACAATGTTCCCTTGAAGTGAGAGTATATTTTATTCCTAAAGCATTTTATTCATCAAGACCTTGCAAGGCTACACCATGTGAACACTGACCTGTGAATAGGTACCAGAGGTTGTTTGGTTCCAGTGTTTCCATCTCACCCCTGCGGGTCGTTTTTCTGTGTCGAATTTTATAGCCTGTAATAAATCCATTTTGTGTTTCTGATGGAGGAGGCAGCCAGCTTACTTTGATACTCTGTAAAATAATAGATGTAAATTAAAATACTGGAGAAAGGAAGGACCCAAAGGACCCAGAGTCAAAGAAGTGACCCAAACCTAAGTATAAATAAGGCAGAGAGGGAGGAAGTGTTAGGAATTGCCCCTCACAACCAAATTAAATCAATTTTTACAGTGGATAGCATTCCTATTTGTCAAATTTTTATAGAAATTTACAGTTCATTTGATTGGTTGTATGCATTGCCATCTCTCCCTTGAACAATGCCACTAAAATGATAAGAAAATATTTTAAAATATGCAAAGCCCTAAGGAAATTTAGATTAGGACTATAGCAGATGAGAGATGTCAACAAATATTTGGAAGTCAGACATTGGAGGAAGGTGTGGTGACTGAACCTAAGAGGGTGAAACCTAAATACTGAAGATATACTGATAAAAAGCTAGGAAATTTCTATGACAAAATTCAGGAAAGCCTGGACCACTGGTGTTTGCTAGATGTCTTGAAAGGCAGGGCTAAAGCACAGCGCGGAAGTAGAGGGTGGGTTGAAAGTCATAAAGATCAGTTAGTCCCTCAGGTTTCCACTCACACCCAGTAAAACCAATCTACCAATCCTCCCTGACCTTGGAGTAGGTGAGAGCTTTAAACTCTGAGGATGTAGAAACAGAAGTGGCATGTTTGTACATATCAGGTATTGAAGAGAAGAAGAATGAAGGTAAGAGTTAAGTCCAAGTCTTGAACTGTAAAGTGAGACTCTCAAGACTTCTTTCTCTATATGATACCATAAGCAATGGCAACCAGAATAGATTTTCCAGAGAAAATGAAATGGGTAGCCCCTAGAGAAAATAATTGCCTGAGCAATCCCCTAATTACGATGCCCAACACTTAACAAGTCCCACTCATGCACTAAAATTAGCCAGTTGCAATCAGCTTTGGAGGACTTCACTTTTAATTTAATATGGCAATTTAAGTCTCCAGACATCAACTAAAGCGTCTAGCATGAAAAATAGGAAAACATAAACAAAAAGATAATGGCACCTGAAGAAAACAACAGTAATGCATATAGGTGAAAAATTACCCAACACTATCATTACTATCCCAGTAACCTAAGAGAAGATATTGCATCCATTTAAAAAGAACAGGAGAAAAACACAGGAATAATGAGAGTTTAAGAAAGAAAAGCTTTTGGCAATTATGATTTGATTGCACAAATTAAATATTCAATAGTTGAGTAGGAAGAGAAAAGAAATCTCCCAGAATTCAGAGGAAAAAAGACTGTCATAGGAAATAAGAGAAAAAGGATAAGAAATTAAGGTTTAATTTACAATTTCTAACATCCAACTATTAAGGCTAGAGAAGGAAAAATCAGGAAAAAAAAAGAAGCCAGTAAATTAGCAAAAAAATATCACATTACCAATACAAACAAATGAGAAAGAAATGTAACAAAGCATGTTGATATGAAATACCAAAGCACCAGGATAGGTTAGGGGAGGGGAAAATTTTCATACATGGATAAACGAAAAAGTGGGTCACATAAAAAATCATCAGGAGTAAGAATTGGATCAGATTTCTCCACAAGAACACAACTTAGAAAACAATGGGGCAATACTTATAAAACTCTAATCATACAGGATTTTAAACCTAGAATTCTCAAAAGAACCAAATAAATAATCAAATATAAAAAAGAGTATACTATAAGGATATGCACTTGTATAAGTACAATCATATTTGGTAGCAAACCAAGGAAAACGAAGGAAATCTTCAATCAGATAAGTAGACTTGGTGGCTGCAACAATGGACTAAAGCATACCAACAACCACAAAGGTGACACAGGATCTGACATAAGGTTGAGAGGAGGCAGAGGGACTCAACAGCAACTAACAACATTAAGTACAACAACAAGATATTTTCTGACATACATGG